AATTAGGATATTGTACTTTCATGGCTGTCCCTTGTCTCTTGCCGTTGATTCAGTTTCACACTTGTCTCATGTCTTTTGTCGTTAATTCAATTACATGACTGTCCCTTGTCTCTTGCCGTTAATTCACTTTCACTGTTGTCTCATGTCTTTTGTCGTTAATTTAATTACATGACTGTCCCACGTCACTTGCCGTTGATTCAGTTTCACAGTTGTCTCATGTCTTTTGTCGTTAATTCAAATCATGACTGTCCCACGTCTCTTGCCGTTAATTCAGTTTCACAGTTGTCTCATGTCTTTTGTCGTTAATTCAATTATATGACTGTCCCTTGTCTCTTGCCGTTAATTCAGTTTCACAGTTGTCTCATGTCTTTTGTCGTTAATTCAATTACATGACTGTCCCACGTCACTTGCCGCTAATTCAGTTTCACACTTGTCTCATGTCTTTTGTCGTTAATTCAATTACATGACTGTCCCTTGTCTCTTGCCGTTAATTCACTTTCACTGTTGTCTCATGTCTTTTGTCGTTAATTCAATTACATGACTGTCCCACGTCACTTGCCGTTGATTCAGTTTCACAGTTGTCTCATGTCTTTTGTCGTTAATTCAAATCATGACTGTCCCACGTCTCTTGCCGTTAATTCAGTTTCATAGTTGTCTCATGTCTTTTGTCGTTAATTCAATTATATGACTGTCCCTTGTCTCTTGCCGTTAATTCAGTTTCACAGTTGTCTCATGTCTTTTGTCGTTAATTCAATTACATGACTGTCCCACGTCACTTGCCGCTAATTCAGTTTCACACTTGTCTCATGTCTTTTGTCGTTAATTCAATTACATGACTGTCCCACATCACTTGCCGTTAATTCAGTTTCACAGTTGTCTAATGTCTTTTGTCGTTAATTCGATGTCATGACTGCTTCATGTCTCTTGTGATGTTTCCAGATGTCGATGAGTGTCTTGGCGAGGTCAACCCTTGTGATCACACCTGTATTAACGTCAGAGGTAATTTCAGGTGTTCCTGCCGAGAGGGTTTCGTTGTTGATCCAGGAAATAAAAGAAAGTGCATAGGTATGTTGTTCTTTTTCGTCTTCTCCTTGCCTGCGACCTCCTCCACCTTTTTTTTCAGTACGGTTGTTGCGTAGTGTTGTGGTTTACAGCTAGACTGCAATATCTACTCATTTTGGCCTAACACATACGATTTAATCAAACAACTAATTAGTTGCATTTTACGACATGCTTGTTAAGACAGTGCCCCCCCCCCCTTTGGTCCCTGCCCCCTTAAAAATAAGGCCCGGGGCACACACAGAGTGGTATGTTGTTGATAAATGAGAATGCCTGACTAGTTTGTCAACATTATCAAACACTCGCCCACTTTCCCTCCTCGTCAAACCACCTCGTCAACTTTCCAGCCTCGCCAATCCGCCTCGTCAACTTTCCCTCCTCGCTAACCCGCCTCGTCGTCTTTCCGCCTCAGGTACTTTCATGCCCAGACTGTAAATGATATCCTGTGTTCACCATCTTGCTAGTCGTCCCCTGCCTCTTCTCTCAAAAACCACACTTCATGTTACTGTTCACTTCAAACTATTATCACGTTTAATAAAGGCGCAGTATTGACGATAATGATGACAATAATAAAGAAGAAGATTTTGATGACAACCTTTATTATGATTATAATGATGATAATAATTATGGTGATAAGGATGATAAGGGAGATGAAAACGACAAAGACGATGATGAACAGTTTCAAATTACTGTACTTAACATATACTAATGTCACTGATTTCCAGTGCTTTTTTTTTTTTTTTTACCTGTACGTTTCGAAATTCAGATCGTTAAGAAGAAGAAGAAGAAGAATAAGAACTGAAAGTGGAAACTGTTTGTGATGATAATAATGAGGATAATGATGATGATAATGTTGAGGATAGCCTGGTTTTGTTGTCTGAACCTAACAGACACTAATGTCATTGATTTCCAGAAGACAGCGGAGCCTGTCAACAAGGAAGGCAATGTGAGCAGATCTGTACCGTCATTCCCGGCGGTCGGAGGTGCTCTTGTAGACCTGGCTATGTGATCAGTGAGGAGGACAACTTTCTCTGCGATGGTATGTTTTATTCTATTTTGGTTCTTTATTTTTTCTTCTTCTTATTCTTCTTCTTCCTCTTCTTATTCTTCTTCTTCCTCTTCTTATTCTTCTTTTTCCTCGTCTTCTTCTTCTTCTTCTTCTTCTTTTTCTTTTTTTTTCTTCTTCTTCTTCTTCTTCTTCTTCTTCTTCTTCTTCTTCTTCTTCTTCTTCTTCTTCTTCTTCTTCTTCTTCTTCTTCTTCTTCTTCTTCTTCTTCTTCTTCTTCTTCTTCTTCTTCTTCTTCTTCTTCTTCTTCTTCTTCTTCCTTCTTCTTCTTCTTCTTCCTTCTTCTTCTTCTTCTTCTTCTTCTTCTTCTTCTTCTTCTTCTTCTTCTTCTTCTTCTTCTTCTTCTTCTTCTTCTTCTTCTTCTTCTTCTTCTTCTTCTTCTTCTTCTTCTTCTTCTTCTTCTTCTTCTTCTTCTTCTTTCTTTTTCTTCTATCTTCTTCTTTTTTCTTTTTTCTTCTTCTTCTTCTTCTTCTTCTTCTTCTTCTTCTTCTTCTTCTTCTTCTTCTTCTTCTTCTTCTTCTTCTTCTTCTTCTTCTTCTTCTTCTTCTTCTTCTTCTTCTTCTTCTTCTTCTTATCACCGCTCGCTCGAATGACGTAATATGCCAGATTTGTACTTTTCGGCCTACACGTCGGACATCTCTGCACATTTTTTTTTTTTTTTTTGGTTCGCCTTCCTAGCTGTAGTTTTTCTGTTCTCCGTCCTCTCTTCCATTATTTCTTTTTTTTTTTTCCTCGTCATTTTCATCCAAGGATTTGTGTAACCTTACAATCTGCTATGGTTTCTATTTTAACGGAATGTTTGCTTGTATGTACGTATGTATGTGTGTGTATTTCAACTTTCATGCATCAGTCTTGCTAGCTTTCGTGTGTACAACTGCTGATCTGTTCATCAATGATGAACTGCATTTCTATTGTCGGACTGTTCGTGTTAGCACTTCGGATCTCTACCGTATGCTTTTAATGCGTGTGTATGCTAGATATGCTAAGACAGCAGTCTGTCAATCTTTTCACAAGGGACTGTTATAAACATTCTGTGTGTTTATAGTTGGCACAGAAGCGGAGCAAAGATGGGGTGACCTGTTTGCTATGAAGCTGCTATAAGGACTGCCAGACCAGACTACCAGACCAGCTTTCATTCCAACATGTTTTCTTTTTTTAACTTGTTTCACCTTTTTGTTTATTTTGTCTTTCTTTTTTCGATTCAAATTACATTTTCTCACATGCTTTTCCTTCTTTCCTTGACTTTATCTTTTTTTTTTGGGGGGGGGAGGGGGGGGGGATTTTTTCTTCTTCCTATTTTATGCCTGGCAGGTCGATTTTGAAAAGCAATCTTTCCTGGTAATACTGTTAATTTCTCTCATTTGTCTACCTTGTTTATTTTGTCTGTCAAGCTTCAGAATTATTAGAGCCTATTTCCCAAGACATGTTGTGACACCCGAACAACAGATCTGTGGACACAGAGATAGGGAAAGACAACACAAGACGATTGCTGACAACTTTTTGTCCTAGAATTGACGGGTGTCAGTACTGAGCAGGTGAAAATCTATTGCAGATAGCAGGCTGTGGAGCGATATGATCGCCCAAGCTAGTCAGCAAGGCACTGTATAATGATTCTTCCAGAATATTTCAAGCTTGAGATTCACCATACATTGTTTGTTTACTTTATTTTACTGTTAAATGTATCGTTCAGTTACATTTGTTTTACACTTAGGTCTATTGTTCGGTAAGATAGACGTTACAGTTGTTATCTATTTTACATTCAGGTCTGTTGTAAGGTAACATAGGCGTTACAGTTTTTATCGATTTTACACTTATTTCTGTTGTACGGTAACATAGGCGTAACAGTTTGTATCTATTTTACACTTATTTCTGTTGTAAGGTAACATAGGCGTTACAGTTTTTATCTATTTTACACTTATGTCTGTTGTACGGTAACATAGGCGTTACAGTTGTTATTTATTTTACACTTATGTCTGTTGTACGGTAACATAGGCGTTACAGTTGTTATCTATTTTACACTTATGTCTGTTGTACGGTAACATAGGCGTTACAGTTGTTATCTATTTTACACTTATGTCTGTTGTACGGTAACATAGGCGTTACAGTTTTTATCTATTTTACACTTATTTCTGTTGTACGGTAACATAGGCGTTACAGTTTTTATCTATTTTACATTTAGGTCTGTTGTAAGGTAACATAGGCGTTACAGTTTTTATCGATTTTACACTTATTTCTGTTGTACGGTAACATAGGCGTAACAGTTTGTATCTATTTTACACTTATTTCTGTTGTACGGTAACATAGGCGTTACAGTTTTTATCTATTTTACACTTATTTCTGTTTACGGTAACATAGGCGTTACAGTTTGTATCTATGTTACACTTATTTTTGTTGTAAGGTAACATAGGCGTTACAGTTTTTATCTATTTTACACTTATGTCTGTTGTACGGTAACATAGGCGTTACAGTTTTTATTTTTATTTTACACTTATGTCTGTTGTACGGTAATATAGGCGTTACAGTTGTTATCTATTTTACACTTATGTCTGTTGTACGGTAACATAGGCGTTACAGTTGTTATCTATTTTACACTTATGTCTGTTGTACGGTAACATAGGCGTTATGTTTTTAAAAATCTATTTCCACTTGCGTCTGTTGTAAGGTAACATGGGCGTTACATTCTGTATCTATTTTATACTACAATCTATTTTATATTTACATACTTTTACAGTTGCATCTATTTTACTTGTATATCAATTTAACAGTTGTATCTATTTTACCTTTACATTGTATCTATCTTAAATTTACATCTTTTTTACAGTAACATCTATTTTACACAAACATATATTTTACATTTAGATATGTTTCTATTTCAGAAAGTGAGGTATGCACAGCAAAGGCAGACATTGTCTTAGTATTTGACGCTTCAAACAGTATTGGAGTTGAAAACTTTCACAAGCAGTTCGACTTTGCCAAAAGATTGGCCGCTCATTTCAAGATCGGGCCAAATGATGTACGATTTGGTGGTGTTTTGTTCAGCAGATATGCCGAGGTACTTTTTAACCTCAAGGACAACGACAACATTGAAGGAGTTAACAATGTAAGACAGAAATAATTTTCAAAAACACAATTTGTATTTAATTTATTTAATTCAAAATCTGTTTAAATCATCATTGATTACTAGTAAAATGAGGGCTGATGGCAAACTGAGAGAACATCAGATGACAGAGAGATAAAAACTCTATGCTGAATGGTCGTAGACAACGAGGCAGACCAAGAAGACGATGGGGAGATAATATCCAGACAGACCTGCAAACACTTGGTGTTACCTGCTGGAAAGAGAAGGCTGTCCAGTGAAATTAACAGAGACGGGTGATATCTGCAGCAAAAAACCATAAAGACTCGGAATGCTGAAGAGAAAGAAGAAACATTTACGAACTTTTAAAGCTAGAGCAAGGAAGGTCCGTTTTGTGAGACCCATGAAAGCATTTCGTCTGGCCATGCTAAAGCAATAACATGTAATACCGCTTTTTATTACGTTTTACTATGCAACTTAACCTTCATTTGTTTGCATTATCTTTGAATGGTCGGCTTTTAATGCAATTTTGGAAACCAACGCAGATGTTTGCTGCCTAATCGCCTTAAGCTGGCATTAAACTGGGTATCTCTGAATTACGAGCTGAGTTGGCAATGCCTAAGCCGCTGTCGCCGACCCATAGATTTAGAGGGATAATGGCGGAGATGGATCAGAGAAGTAATAACTGAGGTGAATAAGACAAGCAGGACATCGACTGCGGGGATATGAGACAACTACGTATAGCATCTTCTTCTTCAGTGATTTCAGGTCATTTACCTAATCCACTGTTGGCCGTAACCGGGATGTCAATTTGAGGTCTCCAAGGTTTCCCAAAAGCTTAATCATCAGTTCTACTTGATGAGGCTGCATGTTGTTTCACAGCTTCTCCAAGAGAGAGCAGTCTGCTCTGCACGAAGACTCTGACAAAGAGCTGTTGGCTCATGTCTAAAGTTCACAAGTGTTTGTTCAGTTTGTGTGCCCTGTGTGCAAGCGAAAGGTGGTAACTTGGTCAGTTCTGTTTGCACATAGCATAAATACCTTCCACAATATGTGGTAACGACATACACAACTGACACTCACTAAGCCAATCGCCAGGTAAAGAAATAAAGAAAAGACGATGGCGTTGAATTAAATACACGTTGAAAAAAACACGAAAACAATATAACTATAAAGTTAGTTGCGTATCCGTTACATGATTTTGCAGAACCAACCCTAGCATTTTTTTTTTTTTTTTCTGTGTGTGGCTGTTGTGGTTTTTCTTCAACACAACCGCATATTACATGTACGACACAAATACATATAAACTATACGATACAACCACATTTAACATATATGACACAACCACATATAACATATATGACGCAATCACATGTAACACATACGACGCAACAACATATAACACATACGATGCAACCACATTTAACACATAGTACGCAACCATATATAACACATACGACGCAACCACATAAAACACATACGACGCAGTCACATATAACACATACGACGCAACCATATATAACACATACGACGCAACCACATGTAACATATACTATGCAAACACAAAATAACTCAACACATACGACACAGCCACATATAACACACACGACACAACCACATATAACACATACGGCTCAACCACATATAACACATACGACTCAACCACATATAACACATACGACTCAACTACATATAACATACACGACACAACCACATATAACATACACGACACAACCACATAAAACCTATACGACGCACCCACATATAGCATATACGACACAACCACAGTTAACACATACGACACAACCACATATAACATATATGACACAACCACATATAACATAACATACTCGACACAACCACATATAGCACATACGACGCAACCACATATAGCACATCTCTGGTTCCTTACCCAGGCTCTGACAAACATCAAGTACATGAACTCCAGCACATACACGCACGAGGCCCTGAAGCTCATTACCAGTGATCAGTTGTTCAGTTCAGCCAAAGGAGGCAGAGCTAACGCTAAAGACGTTGTTGTTGTCTTCACTGACGGCGATCCAGTTTCTTTGACTAAAGGTTTGCCCACTTTATTTGTACGTGCTTTGTCCAGTGCACATATGTGTGCTTTGTCCACTCTATTTATATGGGATTGTTTCACTACATGTAAAGGTGATCTGTTCATTCTATGTGTATATACTTTATCAAATGTATGTGTATGTGTTTTATCCACTTTATACACTTGGTCCACCTTGTTTAATTGCTGCACTCTGGCTGTTGGCTCAGTGCAGGCTAAACACCTTTCTTTTGTTTTTCAGTTATTCTTTGTTCCACTGGGCCGTTTTGTTAGTGTAAAATTATCTTCTGTATTGTATTGTCAGGCCCTCTGACTCCTGTGAACATTAGTATTCTATTTCAGCAGTGGACCATTGAGTAAGAGGCTTTATCAGGTAAAACGCATAAAAAGAACAGTGGATGCACTCTAGCCAGTCTACAGACATAAGTAGTAGTTGTGGTAGTAGTTTTGTTGTAGTAGTAGTAGTTGTTGTTATGGTGGTAGTATTAGTAATAGTGGTGGCAATTGTTATTGTGTTTGTAGCAGTGGTGGTGGAAGTAGTATTAGTTGTGCTGGTGATGGTGGTAGTTGTTGTTGTGATGGTGGTGGCAGTAGTAGTTGCTGTTGTAGTGGTTATTGTTGTAGGGGTGGTGGTTGCAGTAGTAGTTGCAATAGTTGTAGTAGTAGTTGTGGTAGTAAAAGTAGTACTTGTGGTGGTAGTAGTATTAGTTGTGATGGTGCTGGTTGGCCAGTCTATCTACCTGCTCATTTCCTAATACACCAGCATCAACTGGAAAAAATATCTAAAGGATGCTAACTACCCGGGACCTCCGAAGGGATGCTTGCCACTCTGCACGAAGCATGCCTGTCTTCACCTTTTTTCAACATGCTCTGTAAGTCAGTTACAATCACGGCATGTCACGCTGCAGAGAGATCATTTATGGCTCTCAAGCCAGCGGAAGACAGCATTCTCAAACTAGACGTTGCGATATCATATGCAAGGTTTTGCTGTACTAAGCGACGTCCATTCGCATTTGCTTTGAACCCCCTTGCACTTCGTCTGCCCTTCAACACAGAGCCATCTGTACAGACAATCACATCATTTAGGCGGGAATCGTTATGAATCGTTTGTTGAGCTTCTGATTCTGCAGCACCAGCTGGCCAATCTCTGCACTCACTACCTAAAGTGATACACACAGTGAACCCTAAACAAGTCTGAAACTTGTTCGGACACCTTGACCCACTCCTCTCCTTACTCAAATTTATCAAGCCTGCACACATGTCCAATTGTGTCTTGCTTGCGCCTTCCTCTTTTCAATCTGCGACCCTTGTGCTCTACCCAGGGCTTCATGCAGGATGTGCTTCTTGTCTGCAGCTACTCTGTTATAACTTTGCCTGCAGAACGTTGAGCCTATCTGCAATGGTAGGCAGTGTAAATATATATCACATACATACTACCGGGCTATCTCTTGTACATCCCAGAATTACCCGCATGCCTTTATTGCGTATGGGTTCGAGTTTTATCAGCTGACTCTTTAATCTGGTAAGCATTCCAAGTCTATAATCTATCACCGACAGGATCACATGTTAGAGCTTTGTGAACAGCATTCTTTGTTCTATGTGTGCCCTATAGGGCAGGCTTCAATCGAAAGTGACCCAGGTACCTCAGTTTGCCTTCTCTTTTGATGTTACTGTTATTAATTGTGAGGCTTGGAATATTAGCTTTTACAATTCTATTGTCCAGAGAGCACCACAAAAAGGTGCCTTTTCTGAGTTGATGACAACACCTATTTCTGCACACCAGTTAGTCACTTTGACTTCAGTTGCCTGCAGCTATCAGTTGTCTTTCATTTCCTTGCCTACATGTAAGAACATCATCAGCAAATGTCAGTATTCCTTCAGCACCTGGTGCTTCAAGTCCTGCAATCTTGCTTTTATGAACACTAAAGAGCACCAGTAAAATTGCAGAACCCTGGGGTGTTCCCAGCGCTATATTACGTGGTTCTGAGGTCCATGTACCCAGGCGAAGGGTAACTATACGTGAATGTAGGACAGCTGCTATCCAGCTCACAAGCCAGGGACAAACCGCCTTCTCCATGGGTGCAGATATCAAAATGTCTTAGCTGACTCTATTGTAGGCATTCTCAAGATCAAGTACGGCCACAGCTGTCTCCTGTCTGTGCTGAAACCCCTCATAAACATCAAAAGCAGAAAAAGCTGCATTTGACCAGCTGTCCTTTCTTGGCCGGTAACTACCCAAACCTTTTGGCTGGAGCTCTTCCATTTCTAAAAATGTTTGTAGTTTAACAGCAATAATCTTCTCTAGCACCTTGCCATAAGTATTCTGTAGGGTGATAATTCTGAAACCGCCGAGTCTGGAATTATCTTTGCCTGGCTTTGGAAGGGGATCAGATAGCTGTGTACCCAATCCGGGAGGTACTGACGCTGTTCTGACGCTCTGGTTGAAATGAAAAAGCCATCTCCCTCAAGTCTTCACCTCTCATGCTCTTCCTGTGGGCATAACTCACTCCGTCTGACCACGGTGCCGTGTCGTTTTCTTTTTATAATACATATTTTATATCCTCCACCCTACTGATATCCTGAAAATAGTTATCATTTATAGTATTAGACATATTATCTATACCTAGCCCGGCTCTCTAGCGAAGTTGGTTAAAACTGATTTTCGCGGCGGCCGGGTGACGAACTCCTTGTGGTCCGGGTTCACTTCCGGGGGTAGGCAGAAAAGCCACATTTCTCCCAGATTAACGGTACCTATAATGGAATCAATGCCGAAGGGTTGCGATATCTATAGTACCGAGCCAAATGGTTTACAACTCATGGTTTCTGGATACGTTAAAAAAAAAAAATCTATATCTGAGTTTCTCCCTATCATTATGATAAGTCTGGGCTATAAATCTCTTCAAAAATGGCATTGGCATACCATTATCAGTGTAGAAGCCCTATTGTGATCGGCCGATTCTTCCTTTGAATCTGTCTGTGCAGTTTCGAAAATCTATCCAGTGATTTATCCCCTCCAAAATGTTCCCATTTAGCCTTCTTTTTTTTCTTTTCTAACTTTCCTGACTTCTGTCTCTACAGCCTCTTGTAACCTGTGAGGTGCCTTTCGCACTTCGCGTAATTGTTGAACTGCTGCTCGCTTTGCTCTCCATGCCTGTTCTACTTCTTGGGTTCACCATGGAGGCTGCACAAATGTAGAGTTGGTGGTTCTGCTGGATACATTCTGTCGGAGGCATTTAATCTTTCTTATTTTACCCCACCAGGACATCACACTAGTGATAAACACCTAGTGACACTAAGTGCCACCATGTGGATGAGGATCACCTGTGGAGAGGTCCCAGAAACCGTGTTCAGCTATTAGACCATATTTATGGCCGGGCTATATTGCGACCCCTGGCAAGAGCCAGAGTAGGGCTTCAAATAACGAAAAATAGCATCCCACAAAGGAATGACAAGATATAGCTAGGCATTTAAAAAATGTGGTGGTCTCTTATACTTAAAGTCTTGCGCGTTCTCACAGCCCTGACCTTGCTAGCTTTAGAAATCAAGGATTTAATTCTAGTTGACCTACCATCATTTATAAAGACTTCGTCTGCGTCCAGAATAGCCTCTGCTGCAGCATTTCCTTGTCTATTTTCCCCAGTACTGTTCCAAGATCTGATCCGGGCATTGAAACTTGAGTAGTATAACAGAAGCATTTCCTAGAGGCAGAAGCAAAATAACCAGAAGACAAAAGCATAGATCCTAGAAAATCACTATAAGCTACTTTCTGATCTTTCATTCACAGCACTAGCGGAAGCCCAAGTGCTGAAGGATAAGGGAGCACTGATCATCGCTGTTGGAATAGGCAAAGAAATCAAAATGACTTTTTTGCAGCAAGTTAGCAGTACACCAGAAGATGCCCTGGAAGCCACTAGCTATGATACCCTAGAGTACATTGAGAAACGTCTGACGAAGCTGTTGTGTGAAGGTAAGCTGGACGGTGAGCTGGGCGGTGTGTTCGCCAGTGTGGTAAGGTGCGTTGTGAATAAGTTTATCTCCTTAATTGCAGGTCGCAAGCCCGGGTGAGAAAGGAGAAGGGTTAGGCGTGTGGCCCACTTCCCCACCCTGTGAAAAATTATTTGTTACAAAAACTTGCAGAAAAGGATACAATTTCCGTAACGGAATGGAGACACAGACTTGAAGCCACTTATGACATAAAAAGGCACAACAGGACAGTAAATGGAATGTATGTGTGCAGGTTAACTTTCCCCCTGCTAGACAGCAGTCAATCAAACCCATTCCCTCCAAAGCCAGAGAAACAGCTAATTAATCAATTCTGCGTCGGTGTTTGCGGCTCACAGGCGCCGGAACCTGGGAGTTCAGGCCACTGAGGTCCCTCCACAAATGTGTAGAAAGGGGAGACTGAGCACCCCCCTCCCCTTTCACAAAAATAGTTAAAGAGGACTAAAAATAAGCCCACTCTAACCATGTACTGACATTACCTTTAAAAATATGTGTGTGCATTCCCTATTATTTACAGTAGAGTACTAAATTTAATTGCTGTTCAGCAAATAATTAATAATAATGTCTTGAATGGGAATTAATAGGAAATGTGGAAATAGGAATACATTCAAAAAAGAATTTCTAAATTGAAAATGCAAAAATGTGGGGTATGGGGTAAGAGGAGAGAGACCTCAATCCTCATCGCCCCTGCCCCTCCGGGAATGGGGTTAACGGGGCCTGAGGCTTACTTTTAACCGCAGCTGACGGCATTTGGCAATATATTTGTTTTCTAATTATTTACATTAACAACGGAAACATATTTCTTTGAATAAACTGAAACATGTTTCCTGCTGTCTCTACATTTCACAGCTGCTGCGACATCTTCTTAAGGAAGCGCATCATTTACCCTCATGCTGGATGCGTGCATCAGAATATTACAGTATCAGCAAAGACGAGCAGACAAAAAACAACTTTGTTGTAGTAGCCATATTGTAGTGCTGTTTGTCAGTGTCTGATGTAA